GCATGCTAAGATTGCATTAGCTTTCTTCACAGCCACATCGCACTGCAGGCTTGTGATCAACCAGAACCCCTCGATCCCTTTCACATGTACTGCTGTCAAGCCGAGTCCCTACCATTCTATGTCTGTGCCTTTGATTTTTTGTATCTAAGTGTAGGATGTCGCCCTCACCTTCCTGGTGGCAAAGTACAGAGTAATTTTATGAGGAAGACTTGCCAAGGGGTGTGCCAGTGGCATTAATGAGGGCTGAACTGGGAATTACCTCGTTGAATGCCAGATTAGGTGACCAGTTAGCCTCAATTCAATTGAAATTTTCAATTCCTGATGATTTATTAAGGAATAAAACCCAAGCACGGGAACTGAAGGAATGGGTGTTCAAAAAGGATGGGCTTATGGATCAGGATGTGATGGCACGTCGTCTTACAGCACCATTATTCAAGTTTTTTAAAAGGGATCACTGTAGGTCCCTGTATTTAGAGAAGTTAACCAGCTTTTACAGCTTTAAGATTTCCATCCATGCCCTGAATGATCAGGACTGGACGTTTCTTTGGTATCCCTGCCCCCCCCCACCCTTAGACTTTGCCTTTTTGATATGGGGGAAGTTGATGATATTGCACATTATATTCTGAGATGCCCGTGGCATGAAGCCCTTAGGCTAACTTACATCATTCCTATTATTCCGCAGCGTAATGGACTCTCCAGTCTGGATCTGGTCAAATTTTTACTCTCAGACCTTGACCACTCTGTCTCTAGCAAAATGGCATTATTTGCCTTAGCAACAAGGAAAACCAGAATGAGTTTAGTATTTAACACAAAGTAGAAGTAGTATAGGAGTATACTGATATTTACCATTTTATGACCTGATGTATTATGTTATGGCCTATGGCTAAGACAATAAACTTATACTACTACTAGATTACCAGTCAGGACTGAATCCTCCCACCCTCCCACTCTGAAGGAGGGTGCCACCAGGTTGGCCCCAGGCAGGGTTCTATTTCCACTGGTGCTGGGACTCCCCACGTCACCTGTGCACCCGCCCATGTCCCCGTCACCTGCCTGACGGCAAGGTGATTATAAGTCAGAAGCAAATCCTCCTGTGCTGGCAGCTGATGACGTCCTGAGCATGGACCACCACGTAAGGGGTTCCTCGCAGGGTCCCTGTCCCCTGGGGTTGGGACTCCCCACCTCACCAGACAGCAAAGTGACTACTGGTCAGGGCCACATCCCCCTGAGCTGGGAGGTCATGTTGCCCTGGTCCACAACTGTCACAATGGGATCACACCCAGGGTCCCTGTCCCATGGGGTTGTGACTCCCCGCCTCACCTGCCCACCCATATATCCCTCTGGCCCACCGGACAGCAAAGTAAATAGTGGTCAGGAGGGACTGATTCCCCCCGAGCTGGGACCTCTCGTTTCCCTGCTAACGGACTGGCACATCCTCTACTAGAACAGTTGTCCCCGGGAGAGGAGTCCAACTGCAATTGTATGGGTGGCTCCCAGACCTCAGGTGCTGCAGGGGATTATTCCCCATTTATCATGTTACTAGGAGTAGTAGAAAGGTGGGCCTGGGGAAAGAGCACCCCCCATCCCTGTGTGGGTGTTTCCCAGCCCCCAGGCAGGGCAGAGGGGGTTGGCCTTGCCCAGTGGTCAAACTGCATGTGGGTAGAGCCTCTGTGCGGGTGTTCTCTGGGCCCCAGTCAGGGCACCGGGCGGTTGGCCCTGCCCAGTGGAACCCGGGGAGGGAGCACCCCCCTGCGGGTGTTCCCCAGGCAGGGCGGGGGGTTCAGTCTTGCCCAGATATCACCTTGCCAGTGAATGGAGGGTGGGCCCGGGGAGACAGCACCACCCGTCCCTGTTTGGGTGGTCCCTGGGCAGGGCAGGTGGGTGCTGGCCCTGCCCAGAGTCATGTTGCCAGAGGATGGAGGGTGGGGCCTGGGGAGGGAGCACCCCCCTGTGGTTGTTCCCCGGCCCCCAAGCAGGGCAGGGGGGTTGGTCCTGCCTGGTTGTCATGTTGCTGGTGGGTAGAGGGTGGGGCCTGAGGAGGAGAGAGCGCCACCCATCCACGTGAGGGTGTTCCCTGGGTCCTGGGCAGGACGGAGGGCTCGGCCCTGCCTGGATATCACGTTGCCAGCGGGTAGAGGGTGGGCCTGGGGAGAAAGCGCCACAAACCCGTGCAGGCTTTCCCTGGACCCCAGGCAAGGCAGGAGGGTCAGCCCTGCCTGGATCTCATGTTGCCGGTGGGTGGAGGGTGAGGCCCAGGGAAACAGCACCTCCCACCCCCGTGCGGGTGTTCCACGGGCAGGACAGAGGGGGTTGGCCTTACCCAGTAGTCACGTCGCATGTGGGTAGAGGGTAGGCCCGGGGAGAGAGCACCACCCGTCTCTGAGGGGGTATTCCCCAGGCCCCGGACAGGGCGGGGGGTTCAGTTTTTTTGGTCACTCCCGAACTGGCGGGGGGGGGGAATGTCCCATTGAAAAGCATTGTCTCTTTGGGGGCCTGTAGCTCGGCCCCACGAAGTCCAAGGGGGACCAAACTGGGTGGGCACGTCGAGGAGTGTGAGCTGGAATTATGCTGAGAATTTGGGCCCCTGGGACACCCCAGCGGTCTTTTCTGAATCTGCACCGGTTCACGAACTGGTTCACAACCTGGCCGCAGTCCGGCTTAAGAACCAGTCTGGAAATTGGGTCAGTTCAGTTCAGCCCGGGGCAAAATCTGGAAAGTGCCCATCCCTACTAACAACTGTGACTCAGGGCATTATCACAGAACAGGTTACTCTGGAACTGCTGCAACAATAAAAAATAGGTCTCCAAGCTAAATACTTAGGATCAGGATGCAAGTCATTCCTGCACTGTCAACAACAATGCTCTAAGTACCGATATACCAACACTACAAATGTTTGCACATTATTTTGAATGTATAACACATGAATTTAGACAGTGCTAAACCCACATTGATGTAATGCCGATGTTTGCTTCTTGATCTTGTTTCTCAATATGACTGCAGTTTCTATAAAAATTCCATAAAATAAACTAAACAGCAACACTGAACCAAAACTCCTCTTCTAGAACTGAAAGCAGCCTTAACAATTCCTATATGAGATGCTCTGATTAAACTGAGCAAACCTGTACTTCAGTGCCAGTGACTGTATCTATAAGCTGATGGTGAATGGGGCATAACCATTTGACCAATGTACTTTTTGCCTGATTCCAGGCTAACTGGGCACTTCATTGGGCATGTGTCCATTGGGAGAGGTTGGCAAGGGAATTGCAATGCCAAGCCTTTCCTGGTCAACACAGTCTGGAAACAGGTCCTAAGACAAATCTTGCACTATACATGTAGTTAAGAACTGCAGTTTGGTGAATATAGCCACTGCAGGTCCAGCATAGGTTCAAGAAGAAAAAAACCAATCCTGCAACATACGTTCTAAAAATTGCATCAGCTCCACGATTTACAAACAACCCCTTCAGACCGATGTCTCAAGGGATAAACATTCAGTAACACATCCCAAGATTAAAATAAATCATCATCTTCTTTTAAATCCTATATACAAAGACTTGTGCACAGTAGAAAGAGGATCAAGACGTCTCTCGTATTTTCCATCCTGGCACAGTTTGGGGTTCTGACTACTTTAATCCTTGTCAGGACCCTCAGTCAAAACGACGGTGCTTGTCATTGTGTCAAATGAGGACAGACGGCGCCCCCTGGAAGGTTTTGAAACAGCTTCTCTCCGTCAGGCCTCCCCTCAGCACCACGGCTTCTGCGGGGAATGCAGGGGGGACGAGAACTGGGGGTGGGAGTTTGACGCCCCTGAGTTAAAGGCTCATTTTAACAGTATGTGGGTAGAGAGAGAGTCCACAGTTTGTCAGAAGGTCTCAGCACCAGAATATTCTTGCCTCTCCTGAGCCCCACAAAAGAAGAATGCAGCAGTGGGTTTGATCTCAGTGGGGAGGCCCGGTCTTAGGGGTCACTAGACTCCCATATTATGCCAGTGTCTGGAAATGAAGCTGCTGATAAAAATGTTAATTACTTCCACTTCAGTTTTTACTTTGGATGATACTATGGAATGAAGATTTAGACTCATTTTCAAAATTGTCTACAAAGAAAAAGAGCCTCCAAAGGTGAAAGAGAAAAGTTACCACTCTCACGCAAAAGCACCCGTCTGCTGGCTCCTCACAATACCAAACAACAAAAAAGGGAATTTCACAATATCCCAACTGCACATGGGATACATATAGGTAATTAACATACCTGTCAGATTAAAGTTTTAAAGATGAATTAAACTATGGATATCCCAACTTGTATAAACTGTCCTATATTTTGCAGCATTGCTGAGCTACTTCATACCCAGTGAAGAGAGCAGTCTGCTGTAACAGCCCAAGACGGGAAACAAGACTAGCCACTCATGGTGGCACACCCCACACTGTTTTCTATACCACACTACTACTAGATGAGTATATAAGGAAACACATGCGAGTTAATAGCCCCTGTTGGACCAGAAGTTTCCCCCCTTGTTCTGATTAGCTCCTAAACAGCAAGTCAACCACAGAATAAGCATATTAGGAATTTCTTGTCTCAAAATAACGGATATTCACTACTTGTCTAGATGTACAACACCCCTCCCCCATTCATGCCCAAGAGACCTCTGGCAAAGTTACAGTAACTTGAGTCACAGAAAGATGCCCACTATTCCTGTACCCTGAATCTGCAGTTCCCTGTGGAGCCCCCATCCCCACCCACAATAACTGTGTACATTAACAAAAAAAAGCAAAGGAGGCAACAGCCCAAATGCACAGCTAAGGAGAACACTGCCTGGTGAAAACTCTGCACAGCTCCAAGCCCCATCAAGGGTCATTTTGTTGCTTCTCCCCATTTTCTTGTTGTTCTTCTGACTCCAGCACAGCTGGATACCGTTTTTTGTTGTTTTTTTTTGCTATTCATGATGAAAATTCACCCATTTACTGGATTACTTCAGAAATGATCCCTTGGTTCTCAGCAGTGCTCACCTGATATTTTTCTGGATCAGCCCCTCCAGCTTGGGCAACAAAGAGCCCAGAGCCTTCTTCCAGCTCCATCTCATCGGGCGAGCGCTCAAACCGGACTCGCTCAAATGCCTCGCAGTCCATGTAGAGAACCACCTCTTCCTCCTCGACGCTGATGGCAAAGCGAGTCCACTGGTTGACAAGGGAAGGCACGGTGAATGTGGCAGCCGCATAGGAGTTCTGAGAGCCAGGCTCTGTGTAGTAGAAGAGTATCTGTTGCTTCCCATCCTTGACCTCTGAAAGCTTCACACCCACATAGATGATCGACTGGGAAGCATCTGTGATGGCAAAAAGCACACCAGCCTTGTCCGACGTGGGCTGAACGTGGAACAGGAGTGAGAAGTCTCTGTAAAAAGGGCTGGGGAGGTGGTAGCGGGCCACTTGGCCAGTGTTGGCATCCAGTCCAAACACGTAGCCAGGACTGTGGTCAGGACCGTATATTTTGGTTATCTGGTCTGGCGGGGGATCCCCAATCAGCTCTAAGAGACCAACTTCTGTGCTGAAATTTTCTGTTAAGAGAAGAAAACAGGCATTTCAGAGCCAAGCAGAATAACTCTATACGATGTGGAACACACTCATACAGCAGAACATCCCAATAATCCCAACATACAAAGGGATGTAGCCCAAATCTCTGTTGATAGAAAACCATCAGGTCAGGTTTTTGTCTCAGCCTATTCTCACCAACTTCTAATTGTGGGTTGGACCCAGAGATCCACAGATGGAAGGATCACATATCTTTCTCATTTTCGCTTGCCCCCAGCAGCCGGCACTGGCCACAGGGATGTTTATTCCCAGGATTGCAGGATCCATATGGACAAAGTTGCCCTCTCTTAGCTCTTCTGTCAGCAGACCTATGCTAATGGGAGAGGTAGGACTGGCTGTTTCAGCCCCTTCCCTTTTCCTTCCCCGCTGCCATTTTCTGACCAGTCTAAACTTTTCCTCCAGGACTGGAAAGGACTAAGATGCCAGAAACTCAGCCCTCCACATATTGACAACATGCATGTTTTGCTAACAGGCTATAGCATATACTGCCTGTATGTAACATAACTATGACTTCACATTCAGCTACTAACTGAATAGCTACTGCACACAGAGAGGAACCCTTAGTACCAAAGCTACACATTTGTGAAGAGGGAGTCTCAGATATGATTCACTGAGCTCATAACCCTGCATCTGAAGTCTTCTTATCCTGAATATCTCCCAAGGATAACATTTCGACCCACAGTATTCTGCTTCTTGATGCCTCAACCATTTTACATGACTAACTATTTCTTATTTTAATTCCAAAGGTCACCAGAATAATGGGTCACCACCACGAATAAAGGAATCTCTGTCATACAGACTGATCTACAGAATAAATCTGGGTTTATTGAGAGTTACGGTGCTTTAAAATGCCCAGTGATTTTGAGGGGACTCTCCATATTTACTCTGTTTGAGTAAGTGAAAGTGATCAAGAGAAAAAGATAACATAAGTAACATGGGGGGGGGGAACCAAATGCTGTAACAAAACAATAGCTCATCTTTGATAGTCCTCCTGTTAAGTGAAGCACCATAAAGTCCTCCAGGCCCTGACCTGGGTTGCCCAGACTAGCCAGCTCTGGTCACATCTTGGAAGCTAAGCAGGGTCGGCTTTGGATGGGAGCCCTCCAAGGAATATCAGGGTCGTGTCGTGGAGACAGGCAATGGCAAAGTATCTCTGAACATCTCTTGCCTTGGAAACCCCATAAGGGGACTGCCACATGTCAGCTGTGACTTGACGGCACTTTCCACCACCACCACCAAAGTACCCATCAGAGCAGAGCAAAGTAAAACCGCAGAACACACAATTATTGGCCAGCTCAGTAGTGTGATTCTGGAAATGTCTAAAATGGCGCAAAGATGCTGATAAATGCACAATACCCATTTCTTCAATAACAGTGGTGAATGAGCTTTAGTCTAAAATATCTGCAGCAGATCCTACATGTGGCTATGTGTTACCTCTGGACGTCTGCCGATAGCTTTATTTACTTTGCTCATTACATCCCACTTTATCCTATGGGTTCAGGGTGGATTTGGATTACAGCAATGCCATCAGTTATTTCTCTTGCTCCTCACAATCAAACTAGTAAGTTTGGATAGTTTGAGGAAACAAAGGAGGAAAAACGGAAAATAAGAGATCACGTCCACTCACTGATGCTTTTTTGTCACTATGACTTTCCTTATTTTAAGATACAGTGCTCTGACAAATTCTTTTCACTTTTCTCTTCTAATTCTTAGACCACGAACACAAAAGAAAAACAATATAAATATAGAATTCCCAGATCTTTTTAAAATGATGAACTTTCCCCTTAAATTAGTCTGCTATGAAAGGGAGGGGCTCAACCCTAGCTGATGGGAAAACAGCTACAGATGGACATGGTGGCAGGGCCCCACACTCACTTCTGTTTAAAAGGCAATGGGTTCTAAAGGGCCTCAGTGAAACCAAGGGGCCTGATTCCAGCTTTACATACACATCATCCTGTATTTCTGTAGCTCCAAGGGAAACTGTATATTTAATTCTTCTCCCAAATTCCTCAATGAATGGCAGATATTATGTCTAGAGATATAGGATAAGGCATTTGACAGGATGAAATGGCCTATTATATTCCAGCAAATTATAAGGCATTTTATAGATTACCATCACACAGCTCAGTAAATTGTCCAAGAAAGTGAAACTTTAGGCTCTTCCTGATTCCGCATGCCTAACAGCTACAAACAATTCAGGGATCTGCTGATCCACGAGAGGGCACAGTGTCAAAGAGTTACTGAAATAAAACATGCTGCTTGGTACTTCTTCTCTGGTGTATTTGACTACTTATGTTTAATTTAGCAAACAGCCATAGTGGCTGGACACAGACCAAGACCTAATTCCTAAGACAACTTTCTCCATGTTGGGTGTGTGCATCCTACCTCTGAGCTCTAAGAGTAGCCATTTCACACTCCATATTTGTGAAGACTGAATGAGCCAGAGGCAGAAATTCCAGGCAGGGCAGGGCACTGCAGTGGAAAGCACTGCAGTGGAAACTGGTTTGGAGGCCCATGTGTGCATTCACTAGAAAGAGGTTCATGTGTCGCAAGTCCTCCATGCACCTGGGAATTCTGGAAAAACAGAGTTCCTGACTGCAGGAGGTAAGCCCTATACAAAGTGCATAGGATCCTTACAAATAGCTGCTGATCTGCTGCTTTCCCTCCCCACTCCCACTAGTATTCAAACTCCACAGCTATGTTGTGTGCAAAGGGTTAAAGCAAGAATGTGGAACTGCCACTCATATACCAGTATCTTGATCTGTAATGCATCCACTATAGAAGGAGGAGGAATGTCCACACTTCCACTGCCACCCCTTCACTACATGAATATGTCAATCCCCAGTTGGGGGCAGGGGAATCCCCTGGTTTGGAGGCCCTCCTCCCACTTCAGGGTTATCAGAAAGCGGGGGGGATGTCCACTGGGTGCTCCATTATACCCTATGGAGACCGGTCCCCTTAGGGTACAATGGAGAAGCAATCCATGGGTATCTGGGGCTTGAGGGGGGCTGTTTTTTGAGGTAGAGGCACCAAAAGTTCAGCACAGCATCTGGTTCCTCTCCTCAACCCCCTTCCCCCCGTTTCAAAAAGATTGGACCATGGGGTCCAATTTTATGAGCCCCAAAAGAAGGTGCCCCCATCCTCCATTATTTCCAATGGAGGGAAGGCATTCAAAAGTAATGCAGTCCCTTTAAATGTGATGGCCAGAACTTCTTTTGGAGTTCAATCCTGCTTCTTCCCTCCCCTCTCCTGGAGGCTCCTGGAAAGTCCACCGCCAGCTTGTCAGCCTCACCTGGCAACCCTAAATGGCTTGGGTGGAGAATGAGTTGAGAGCAACCACTGTGTTCAAAGCACAAGCTCCTACCATGGAATCACAGGAACCTTCTGGATATGGGGGGGTGGACCTGGAAGTGAAATCACAGGATGTGACATCACAAAAGTGATGCCACATCCTTGCTCCTGGCTCCACCCCCCAAAGTCTCCTGGCTCCACCCCCAAAGTCTCCAGATATTTTTTGAGTTGAACCTGGCAACCGTACCACTGCAGGAGAACTTTGGCATGATCATAACCTCTACTTCTATACTGATTTGCAGCACACTTCAATTTATACATAGTCTCACAGAAGAGGTTACTTGTGTAAGAGAAGATAGTTTAAGATGGGTAGCTGTAGTAGTAGAATAAAATTCATGTCCAGTAGCACCTTAAAGAAGAGCAACTTTTCCAGGGTATAAGATTTCATCAGTCAAAGCTCACTTATTTATTCTCTTTGTATCTGACGAAATCAGCTTTCACCTTAAAGAAGAGCAACTTTTCCAGGGTATAAGATTTCATCAGTCAAAGCTCACTTATCTATTCATTCTCTTTGTATCTGACGAAATCAGCTTTGACTCACAAAAACTTATACCCTGGAAAACATTTGTTGGTCTTTAAGGTCCTAAGGTAAAGGTAAAGGTCTCCCTTGCTCGAAAGCCAGTCGAGTCCGACTCTAGGGTTGCGGTGCTCATCGCCGTTTCCAAGCCAAAGAGCCAGCGCTGTCCGAAGACGTTTCCGTGGTCAAGTGGCCGGCATGACTAAACACCGAGGTGCACGGAACGCTGTTACCTTCCCACCAAAGTGGTACCTATTTATCTACTTGCAATTTCTTGCTTTCGAACTGCTAGGTTGGCAGGAGCTGGAACTAGAGACGGGAGCTCACTCCGTCATGCGGCAACTCGGGTCTCGAACTGCTGAACTACTGACCTTCCACAGCCTGCAGTTCAGCATCTTAACCACTTGAGCCACTGCAGCTCCTAAGGTCCTACTGGACTTGAATTCTGTTCAAGTCAGAGAGGAACAAGCCTTAGACTTGTGGGGTCATTCCTCAACTAAGATCTACTTTTTTTAGTGACCACTGAGATGTATGCAAGCTCCCATATAAGCAGATCCTTCTTATGAAATCCATCGACAACAAAAAAGGAATGGAAATAACACAATTATGGAATCCACATACAGGTGCCCAGTTCTCATGAAAGCATGTACATCTTTAAGTTTATTCCTGGATTTCGATATATGGAAAACCCACAATGCAAATCAGTGTGAACTAGCCCTAAATAATTACACATCATTAGTTTAATTGACAAACAAACAAGGGGTAACAATTCAATCATGCTGTCTATTTGGAAAACTTTGTCTAGATGGATATATGCATTGTAGTTTTGTAGTGTTTTGAAGGTTGAGCAGATTGCTTTTCTACCAGTGTCCATAACTGCTATCAATTCTAAATGTTTTTTTAATTGCATCATTTCAAAATTCTGAATGAAAATCCAAGGATTGATTTTACCATACAGAGGCCAGTTTGAATTTTAACCTCTGCCTTATACTACCATGTGGACTTCCTGGACAGAAACCCTTGCTAAACATACTACGGGGCACAAAGCAGTACAACAGCACAAATACATTCGCTCTCAGCTAACGTGGTTTAGTTACC